GCCAAAGAGCAGCCTGCATGAAAAAACTAAGATTATATCTAGTGTGCCTTACTCTGCTTTCAGACTCAGCAACCTGCAGATAATTGATTGGATTTTCCAGCTATATTAATGTCTAGAATAAAGGTGCTCTGGATAGCAAATATTGCTTCTTCCTTCCTTTCCTTTCCTTTCTTTCTTTCTTTCTTTCTTTCTTTCTTTCTTTCTTTCTTTCTTTCTTTCTTTCTTTCTTTCTTTTTCTTTGTTTCTTTCTCTTTCTTCTTCCTTCCTTTCCTTCCTTCCTTCCTTCCTTCCTTCCTTCCTTCCTTCCTTCCTTCCTTCCTTCTTTCTTTCTTTCTTTCTTTCTTTCTTTCTTTCTTTCTTTCTTTCTTTCTTTCTTTCTTTCTCTCTCTCTTTCTTTCTTTCTCTCTTTCTTTCTTCCTTCCATTCATCAAATATCTGTTGTGTTCACCATATGCCAACCATTGTTCTATGCTTAGAGGACACATCAGTGGATGAAAACAGACCCAAATCCCTGTTTCCAGAAAGCACATATCCTGGTCAGATGGTGATACATGTTACAGTGAAAAATGAAGGAGGGAAGGGGTGAAAGAAAGAGTGTTCCTATTGGGATTACTAATTTAAATTGCTTTTAAAAATTTTATTTATTGATTTTAGAGGCAGAGACAGAGAGAGAGAGAGAGAGAGAGAGAGAAATGTTGATTTGTCTTTCCATTTATTTATGCCTCCATTGGTTGATTCTTGATTCTTACATGTGTTATGACTGGACATTGAACCCACAATCTTGGTTGTGTCAGGACAAGGCTCTAGGTGAGACACCCAGCCAGGGCCCAGACTGCTAATTTAAATATGGAGCCAGGAAGCTCTTAGTGGCAAGTTGGTGGAAGAGATGTAGGAGGAGGCATGCGAATGTCTGAGGGCAGAACCTACCCAGTGGAGGGAAGGACCACTGCAAAGGTTTGGAAGTAAGAATGTGCTTGGCATGTCTCAGGAAGGCCAGGGAGCAGGAGCAGGAGAGGGAGCAAGAAAGACACTAGGGTTCACATTGTAACCTGAACCTTCTCATGACTGAGAAAGAATATTTTTCCCCAAGGGAGTACATATAATGATTTAGGAATTCGGTGTTTGTTTTATACTTGTGCCTCCTTTGAGCTTGGCTAGTGTGCATCTATATGAAATTAAACTATCTTGGAGGCTTTTGCATATTTAGCTTTCTACCCCTGAAAAGTCAAGGACCTGACTCAGAAGCTTGGGACTTCTTTATGGTGGTATTCTTGGGGTGACCAACAATGATCCCAACCTTATCACCCCATATATCTTTAATAGCTGTTTGAGATGTGAGCTCTACACTATACAATGTGAGCAGTCTTGATTATCCACTGATGTAATGGTGATTTTATGAACAGGTAAGGATGGGGTTTTACATGTAGACAGGGATATCACGGACATACAGCTTTCAAGACAAATTTCATTAAAGTTCATTAATGGTCTTTAGAGTGAGGCAGATATGAGCTTGAATCATGGAATTGACATTAGCTATGAAATCTTAAGAAAGTTAAGTTCTCTGAGAGTTTGTTTCTTTCTCCTCAAATAGCATGCCTGTAAGAATTTAATTCAACAAAAAGAGTGGTTATGAGAATTAAGTGAAGTAACGTACCCAGCAGCAAAGCACTGGTTCTCAGGAGCAGTTCCCTTTCTTACCTCCTCCTTCTCAATTTCTACTTTGCACTGCATGACTCAGAGTTACTGCTCACATTGACTCATAATGAAATCTTAATTAATCATCAATTTTCGCACCATAGGCTTCCAACAGCACTCTCAAACAGGGGAGCTCAGGTTGTTTTAGCAGAGGCCAACCCAATCAGCAGTCTGTTTGTGTTGCGCTACACTCCCTACAGAGCTGTGGAGGTGAAATGAAATAATAAGAGTAAGATACTCAGTGTTGCACTTGTCCATTGTTCGCCCTCATCAAATGTTAGTTTTTGTTACTTTTGTCCTCCTGCAGTTTTGAAACATTTTTAGGGAAATATATTAATTATGCTATGAAGAAGTAAAAAAAGTAAAGAAAATTATGGGAGCAGCAGTGGCTTGTTTTCTTGATAGCGATGGTGAATTTAGACAGTCTTTTTCTATCCTTGCATCTGAATATTGGGCATAAATTGAATGTGAATTGAGATTGTGATTGTTAGTTTTATGTGCCAACTTGTGGGGGGCCTCATCCAATTAGGTGGGAGGCCTTAAGAGCAAAGCTGAGATTTCCCCAAGGAAGAAGTTCTGCCTCAAGACTGGCATTGGCTCCTGACTGACAGGTTCCAGGACGTTGACCCGCCCTACAAATTTTGCACTGTCCAGCCTCCACAATCACACAAGCCAATTCCTTGGAAAAAAAAATCTCTTTCCCATGTACGTATGTGTGTACATGTATATGTATGTATGTATGTATGTTTTTGTATATATGTGTGTATACATATGCATATGTTTGCATGTATATGCATATATATATGTGTATATAGGTGCATATATCTATTTGTGTGTGTGTGTGTGTGTGTGTGTATCTCCTACCAGTTCTGTTTTTGTCTCTCTAGAGAACCCTGACTGATACGTGTGCATATGAAGCCTTATTTATTCTTCTGTTTCTTGTCAGTAATTCTTTATGATGTCTCATTTGCATGATGCAATTTTACTGAAAAGAAACTTGAGCAGCTCCAAACTGCATAATCAATTTTTTTCAGCCTCACAACAATTTCTTTTTGGACTGGCCAGGCCACCTGACCCTGGAGGGGGAGGACCGCCCCTCCACTGGCGGGGGTCAGCACAGACTACAGATGAGGTTCATGAGGCACATTACCTGGGCTCTAGGGGGACAATAGTATAAATATAATGCCCAGGGGAAAATTTGTCTCTAAAAGTACAGATATATCAAGAAGTCACAGAGTGGAAACTGGTTTATTTGCTACTCTCTGGATATGAATTCCAAGGGTAACTAGGATATTAAAACTTTGTTGTCTAAGTGAAAATATGTTCATGAAGTGATGATAACACTGAAACTACTAGAATGAATGCACAGGAGGACAAATTACCATGAGAAAGGATATCATTGAGCGTGTAAATCTGCTTTTATTTGTTGCTAATCTGTCCATAATAATATGGACATATAACCCCTGCTGAAAAGTAAGATAAGAATTTAGACGTCATCTGAATTTAAAGCCACTATTCCACGCCTAAAACCTGGATGGTTTCCCACTTCATTTTCTTGTTTTAAAGTTACTTTTTCCCCTTTATTCCTTTTCCTCATTGTAAAGCCTTCCTCACAGCACTGCCAGAATTTGAACAAAAATATCTTTGATCTCATTTCCAGTTTACCATTTTCTTACTCTACCCTTTGTCATAACCAAGCAACCTTTGTGTGTACTCTTTAGTTATAAATTCTTTTAACTTTTTACAGATCTGGTTATCAGACACTTTAAACAGTAACAGGGGAAATTATGTTTTCAGAAGAGAAATTAACCAGGAACATTATTAACCAGCATAATGTTGTAAGAATCAGCCTCCCCCAGGAAGCTTTGGGTAGTTAATGAGATAACAGAACCTCCAAAAGATAGTTAATGGCCAAGAGAAACTGCTTTTAAGGTGGTAACAACCTACACTGTCCATAAAAGCTCAAGATGGAGCAAGGCAGAATATCTGACCACAGGTAACAGAGCTATGGAAAAAAAAAACCCCAAAAAGTGTAGCCTCAAAAAAACCTCTACTTTCTACTCTCCATTTTTGTAATTCTTGGAATGCTCTACTTTCTTCAGAATTGCTTTCTAATCTCACCTTGTTTTACTTTTGCTTATACTTGCCACCTTCAACTGGCTTCTCTTTACTTCATTCTTACTTAGTTTTTGTTCTACGTAGTCATTCCTTTAATTTGCTTTTCTTTTCTTCCTACTGTGAATTTCCTGTATTTCTCTTGCCTCCTCTCCCCTTTCCATTTTTACCTCTTTTTAATCTTATTCTTTGAATTTCTTTTCTCTGTTCTTAATTCTCTTTCCTCTCCCACTGATCTGTTGTGGCTTTAATCATTGCTCAGAACCTTTAAAATCACCCAGTGACTGATGTTTTCTCCCTGAAAGAAGAGGGATTTGTGACTATGGAAAACCAGCTACAAAGACCCACTACATTCAATTTTCAGTGCAGTCTTTTCCTTTCTTCTGTGATGCTTTTGCTTGGGATTAGAGGTGGATTGCTTACTGGAGCTCACAATGGCAAAGTCCTTCAGGCCTGACTTATCTGCCTTGTGAGTCACACGGCAAGGTATGCCTGAGCCACTGAGTTTACACTGATTGCTAGAATTTTAAAATTGCCCTTCACTGGGAAAAACTTACGCAGGTCTGCCTGGGAGACCAACACGTGGCAAGGTGTGTCTGAACCACTGTGTTTACACTGATTGCTAGAATTTTAAAATTGCCTTTCACCGGGAATAGCTTACTCACGTTTGCCTGGAAAAGCAAGTGGTGTCATTTTATAATGACCGGAAGCGTTGTTCTCCTTGGCCCATTCATTCCCCCTCCTCACTCCTTCATTATTTACAGCATTAACAAAAGCACATGAGTGGGTTTGCAAGAAGGTAAAGGAGCTTTGGCTTGTCTCTCAGACCAACTGGATGAGAAGTAAGATCTTTACAAAGGCAAATGCAGTAAAATATCAACTAATAAACTAGATTAGTCCTTCAGGACTTGATGATTTTACCATCTGACATTCGGAAATACTAGACAGCCATGAAAACCCCAAATTCATTTCACTCTGAGAGATTTCACTTTAGCCTCTTTTAACACTTAAAGACGGACTACACAACTTCTCAATTTTTGAAATCATTGTTTTTGGCAAGTTTGGTTGTGCATTCACTTTACCTTTTGGCGTTTCTGGAAGAACTGGAATGCAAATCCCAGTGAGTAGGTGGTCAAAGTTAACCTCTGCCCTGCTGCAGGGCCTGCGGGAGCATCACAATCAAAGGATACTTATGGTCAAAGGTGTACCACATCCTGAAGAGCCAAGCACTCTCTGTTTTTGTTGTGCTTTTATTCAAGTTATTTGCTTCCTGGGGAGAGACAATAGAAAAAGACATTGCATGAATAATTCATATAAAATATTAATATGTAATATCAACATTAATATATAATATATACATTTTCACTCTAAAAACACTTGTCAAAGCAAATTAAATTTAAGTACATTAAAAAAACTTCCTAGGTATAGGTATTTCCATTGAAATGGTAAAGCAGCTGTCATGCAAATTAGCTCAGTGATCTGCCCACGTGGCTGAGACTCTTAGGGTGCCATTCAACATTTACTTTTCTTAATAATTCCTGTTTTATTAAACAGCTAAGAAATGTCACTTTTTGACATCAAATAAAAATGATATTTCTGTCAGATTGCTGTTGCGGGAATTTTGCAGTTTACTTCTGTCAGATTGGGATGGTATTTATTTATGTCTTACCAAAAGGTCAAGGCTAAAGAGATAATAACAGCCTAATAATTTTAAAACTAGTTCTCATTCAATTTCTTTTGGATAGGGTACCACCAAATGCTAGGGTTAATTTTTACTTTTTCCTGCTTCAAAACCGATATTCCTATAGGAATCCTGTAATAATTGAATGTGCTTGTCTCATTTAAAATTTTATTTTTCCCAAAGGGCCACAGGGAGAGGGAGGAAGTAAAGGAATTAAGGACAAAAGAGAATGCATTTGATGAGTGTTTATGTGAGAGTAACGATGAAAATGTGAGAAAAAGAAAAAAAGGTGAATAGCTTTTTGTGAACTTTAGAAACAGATGATAATGAACGTCCCAGGGTGGTGACAAGGAGATTCGGTGGCATTTTTACTTCTTTTGTATATCTCATTTTACATATTAAGATAATTCTAGGCTTCAATCAGTTATAATTATCCTTATCATTAAACTTATATCTTAATCATTTATATCTTCACATGGACTTCATTGCTTTGTTTGGGCCCACAGTTTCCATTCCCAAATTGTTTCATGAGTTCACAGTCCAGTAATAATGTGAACATTCTCAAGAAATTATGACCCAGGGAAGACAACAGCAATCCACTGGCTGCTCCAAAGTGAGCCCTTAGATGAATCCAAATTGATTTGCTTTCATTTTATTTTATTTACTTTTTGCCAATTCCCGGATAGTTCCATTGCTGGTTAATGATAAGGAGCTGAACACAATGGGCTGCATGCTGCTCTTGTAAACATGTGGATCAGCAGATGCTACAGTTTTATTCCTACAGATGAAATGGGATGCAAGAAAGCAAAATGTGCTTCATTTCTAGTCAGCCATTTTTCTTTTGTCTGACACGGTTGAAGCAGAGACTCAAAATAAAATTAAGATCTCATTTCAAACCTTGTACAGTTTTCCAAACAGCGTTCCCTAGTAGCCATTGTTCTACATAATGGTGATGGAAATTCTGTGCCAATCACTCAGGAAAGGATGGATAAAGCTGTGTTAAGCAGGTTTTTTATATACAGGACATCTTGGGGTGTTTCATATATAGGTGAGCATTGTAAGACTTCAAGAAGGAGTTGTTTCTCAAAGTTGGGCAGGGAACCCATTTCCCATCCCTAACTCCACTGTGGGACATATATAATCTCTTCATAGACATTCAAGTCCCACAGATCTGTTTTCTTTTTCTTTTTTAAATTTTTTTTTTTATTTTTTGACTGTTCAAATACATTTGTCTCCATTTTCCCACCACCACTTTCCCCCGCCCCACCTCCCACCCTCAATCCTTCCCCACTTGAGTTCCGCAGCTTTGTTTTCTGATAGACCCGGAGTGCCATGCCTTCTTATCTAGAGTTAGAATTTATTCATAAGTCATCCTCTTCCCCCAAAAAGGACACCAAAGTGTCTGGTTCAATTTCCATCCTTCTCTGAACCTTTCTCCATCTATTTGTATCTCAACAAAGGTGTCAGATTTGCAAAATCACTGCTGTACATAGTGTTCTCATCATCTTGCTTCATCTCCAAGTTGTTTCTACTCACCGTTTCCCCAGCAGACACAGCATGTTGGGGCTCAGCCAGCAGAGGCAGGTAAAAGTGCTCACCCCCAACTCAGCTAGTAAAAAAAGCTGTGGGCCAGCAGAGGAGTGTGGATCTCTCTCTCTCTCCCCCCACCCCCCGCCTCTCTCTCTCCTTTCCTTCAGGAACAAAAAGACTTACAGAATTTTATCCATCAACAGGCACAGGTAAATTTTGATAGCTGATAATATCTAGGGATGACACATAGTTATTGAAGAAAACTGATAGAAAGGAGTGTGAGCAAATTCTTGCTTTTTGTTAGGTTGTTCATTTTTAAGTAAAGATGGGCTCCGCAGTGCTGAGCTCGGCTGGCAGTCAAGGGCCCAGAATTCTAGCACCCAGCCTGCAGCAGCCCCGCTGAATCATATTTGCAGCTATGAGAGTTGCCAGCTATTGAATGCTCAGCTATTGAATGCCAGCCACATTATCCAGTCATTAACTTTCTGAGTCAATATTTTTCAGTTTTCACAACAATCCATCAAGGTAGGTCATGCTATACTTATTTTACAAGTGAGGACCTAGAAAAGATCGGAGAAAGAAAGAGATGAGACCAAAGTCACACAGCGAGCAAGCGACAGAGCTGGGATTGGAAAGCAGGATTACTGGGCTACAAAACTGGTGTTCTTACTGCTAATTTCTCACTCAGCCTCTTAACCTGGGAAGGCACAGGCACTGTATGATATGCTACTTGGGCAGCAATGTTACTGTCTGTAAAATGGACAGAAAAAAATCGTACTGGCTGCCTTTGAGGTCCTAATCATATGAAAATACTATATTTTATTAATGAAAACAATAACAATAATGGCTAACACTTGTTGAACACATACAATGTGCCAGACACTATTCTAAATGCTTTTCATATAGTAACTCTTAATTCTTATAACAATTTAATGAAGTATGTTCTATTATTATTCTTTTACAGATGAGGAAACTGAGGCAACTGAGGGCATGGATCAGCAGCTGAGATGCCTTTCATCTAGGTGGGGTCTCAGGGCATAAGTGGGAGCAAATTGGGGCGAAAAGGTATCTGAACAAGGAGCTGAGTTCAGGATCTTGGGGTGCTCATGGGGGCTGATACAGAGTAGCTTCTTGTACCCCAAAATATAATGAAAACTCTTGGCTACCCTCGGTGTTAGGAATGTCCTAGATTCCTAGATACTAGTTTTAGGGTTTCCCAGGTCTAGAATAACATGCTCCCCTGCCTTTTTGCCCCTTTTCCTTTCTATTCTATTCTATTCTATTCTATTCTATTCTATTCTATTCTATTCTATTCTATTCTATTCATTTTATTTCCTAAGTTGAGTATGTCAGAACACAAAAGCACTCCTGACAGGGCTTAAACTCTATTTCTGGCAAAACCTCCAGGGTAGTTTTTTGTCATTTGATGAGAAAAATTTTATGAGGTAGCATTTTGGAAAAATGTTAATGAACATAATATCTTTTTCAAACGTTATCTTACTTGGGATACTGGAGATGCTGTTCATTTTACTACTTTGTGGAGAAATAAACTGGGTTCCAATTAGGATACAACATGTTTTCCCAGGTGAGGGAGAGACCACTGATGGCTCCGCATTGATTTTCCTGCTGATCCTAGATAAAAATTTTGAGTGAATATCTTAAATATCTGTTGGCCCAGTTCTGGATCCATTCATTTATATTTCTGAGATTATGGATGACTTAATAACTTGGTTATGAAAGGCCATCAATAAATGAGGAGAAATAAATGAGTTAGTCTACTTTGTGCTCTGCTTGTGCACTGGAGGTTGAAGATAAATATGCCACAGGAAGGCCAGCCTTTGCAGTCACCCTGGAACAGGGATCTGATGCGGCAGCACAAAGGTCGAGCTACTGGGAAGGCTCAGATGAGTAGAGGACAGGAGGTAGCATCAATTTACCTGGCTTATTCTGAAGCAGAGATCAGCCCACACCCCAAGGACAATGGATGTGATCAGTCATCAGAAGTAGAATCTGGAATTTGGTGGTATTTTCTTTGTCATTAGAAATGTATCTTTTCCTTTGAGTTCCTTTATCAACAGGAAAAGTATGTGACAGGAAAAGTAGTATGAGTGTTGAAACAAACAGGATCCAGAAACTGCAGACCAAGATTTGAGTTCTGACTCTCTATGTTTACCATTTAATAACAAAACGCCAGCTCTTAGCCTCATGTTTCACAGCTGTAAATGGGAACTGGAGATCCAAAAGCACTAAATCCCAGTATTTATTTGCCCTTGATACCTCTAGAAGACAGAGTGTTTGATATATGTGCAATTTCTGGTTCCTTTATTATCCTCTGCTTCTGGGAAAATTTTAAAAATGACTGGGGCATTTGATACCTTTCTTTTTTCTCCTTAAACATGGGAAGAAACCAAAGGTTGGAAAGTGACTGAATACAGGAGGAAGTAAGTAGTTGTCTTTTAAGTGACCCCCTCACTCTTAGCACCGCCCCAGGGAGGGAGCAACAGAAAATTATAATGGTATTCTTTGTTTTAGGCTTATATGGACTCCTGAGAGAAAGAAAACAAAAGGCTCTGGCCAAAAATCTGTGAAAACAAGACATTGTTGTATTAACCTCAATGAAAAACAACTAAGCAAATGTAAATATATTCCTCTATCAATATTCGAATGTGAGGCCTTTGCTAAATGAACTGGATGAACTCTGCTCTGGGATAAGCAGATGGGATCACTCCTCATTTCAGAAGGATTCAATGGATCAAGAGAGAGAAAAGATTTTCTTTTGTATTTCTCAATATTTCACATTCAATATTAATGTCAATGTGAGTTGCATGGAATGTTAACAAAGACAAATAATTATCATAAACAAATCTGTGGAGCTTCTTATGGGCTCCAAAGTGTTTTTCAAGTAGTGCCTATGAGTGGGATTTGACGGCAGTACTTTGTCCTACCATCTTCCCCTGGTCTGAAATTATTTATGAAATAGTTTCAAGTTGATTATCTTGACTTTGTAATTACCAAGGGGAAGGCCAGCTCCTATGTCCCAAAAGAGAAATATTTCTAGC